AAAAAAAAAAACAAAAAACACTTATTTGGGGGGTGAGGGGGTAGAAGTCAATAAAATTGATAAATCTCTGGTAAGACTGACAGAAGACAAATTGTGAATGCTAGGAATGAAAGAGGAGATCATCACTTCAGACCTGCAGATAATAAAAGGATAATAAGCAAATACTCTTAATGTAAACAATTCTACATACATAGAGTTGACAACTTAAGTGAAATGAACCAATTCATCATTCAATAACTTAAATAATATGAATTCCTCAAAATGCACAAAACACCCAAACTAACCTAAGATGAAATAGTGAATTTGAATAATATTATATATATTAAAGCAATTGACTTTGTAGTTTAAATTCTCCTGAAAAAAAATCCCAGGCCCAGGTAGTTTTACTAAAGTAATCTACCAAATATTTACAGAATTAATTGAGGAATTAATTCCCAAAAAAGAACCTGATTTTACATAATCTCTCCCCCAAAATAGAAAAGGAACACTTCCTGATTCATTTTATAAAGTCAATATCACCCTGATATTAAACCATACAACAACAAAGAAAGAAAACTATAGACTAATATCTGCCATGAACTTAGAGGGGAAAACCCTCAACAAAATATCGGCAAACGAAATTCAACAACATAAAAGAATCAGACACCACGACCAAGTGGTGTTTATTTTAGATATTTGAGACTGTTTTAAAGTTTGAAACTCAATGTAATCCACCATACAAATGATCCAAAGAAAAAATGATGATTTTATCAACTGATGAAAAAGTATTTGACAAAATAAACACTGATTTGTGAGAAAAACTCTCAGAAAAATAGAAATAGAGGGGAATTACTTCAATTTAATGAAAACATCTATACAAAACTTAGAACTAACATTATACTTAATGCCTTTTCCCCCAAGATAACGACAAGTTTGTCTCTCACAATTTTTGTTCAACATAGTGCTAGAAGTTCTAGCCAACGCAATTAAGGCAAGAAACAGAAATAAAAGGCACGCAGATCAGAAAGGAAACAATAAAACTGATCATATTTGTAGATGATACAATTGTCTATGTAGAAAATCCCAAGGAATCTACAAGAAAATCTCCTAAGTGAGCAAGATTGTTGTATATAAGATTGACACACATACCCAAAAATCAATTGCATTTCTATATACAAGCAATGAACATGCAGAAACTGATATTAAAAACATTATTTGCAATCGCACCAGATAACCTTAGGTATACACTTAAAAAAACATGTGCAGAACCTATATACTGAAAATTTTTAAATGCTGAGGTAAGAAAAAGAAGACCTAAATAAATGGAGAGATACACAATGTTCATGTATCAAAAGACGACATAATAAAGATCTCCCCTAGATGTATCAAATAATTTAATGCAATTCCTATCAAAATCTCAGCAAGGTATTTTTGTGGACATAGACAAACTTACTCCAAAATTTATATGGAAAGCCACAGAACCTAAAATAGCTTAAATATGGAGTATCGTACTGGCATACAAACAGACACATAGACCAACAGAACAGAATAAGGAACCCAGAAATAAATCCACACATTTACAGTCAATTGATTTTCAACAAAGATGTCAAGAATATACAATGGAGAAAGCAGCCTCTTCAAAAAATGGTGCTGGGACAACTGGATATCCACGTGAAGAAGAATGAGATTATACCCTTATCTTGTACTCTACGCAAGAATCAACTCAAATGCATTGAAGACTTAAATGTTAGACTAAAAACTGTAAAATTACTAGAATAAAACACAGGGGAAAGCTCCATGACATTTGTCTGGGCAATGACTTTTTGGATATGGCCCCAAAAGCACAGGCAACAAAAGCAAAAACAGACATGTGGGGTTACCTCCATCTAAAAGGCGTCTTTCACAGCACAGGAAACAATCAACGGAGTGAAGAAACAACCTAACAAATGGGAGACTATCTGATAAGGGGTTAATATCCAAAGGAACTCAACTCAATTGTTAGAAAACAAATAACCTGATTAAAAAAATGCCCAAAGGACATGAATAGACCTTTCTCAAAAAAAGATCTACAAATGGCCAACAGGTGTATGAAAAAATGCTCAACATCACTGATCAGAATGATGCAAATTAAAACGATGAGGAGATAATCACCTTTTACCACTTAGAATGGCTGGCATAAAAAAGACAGAATGTAAGTGTTGGCTGGGATTTAGAGGCAAGAGAAGTCTTGCACACTGTTGGTGAGGACGTAAATCAGCACAGCTATCACAGAAAGCAGCATGGAGGTTTCTCAAAGAATTAAAAATTGCATGACCACATGATCCAATAATCCCACCCCTGGGTGTATGTCCAAAGGAAATGAAATCGGTATCTCAACATATACCTGCACTCCCATGTTCACTGCAGTGCTACACACAAACAGCCAAAACATGGATCAGCCTAAGTGTCCATCAGCAGATGAATGGATAAAGAATACATGGTATACATACACAATTTAATACTATTCAGCCTTTAAAAAGAATAAAATCCTGTCACTTGTAACAAAATAGATGATCCTGGAAAACATTACGTTAAAGGAAATAAGCCAGGCACAGAAAAATAACACACAATCCCACTTACCTGTGAAATCTAAAAAAGCTGAACTCACAGAAAGAGAGTGAAATGGTGGTTACCAGAGGCGAGGGGGTGCAGGGGTTAGGGAGATGCTGGTTAAAGGTCT